CTCCCTCGTGCCAGGCGGGTGTGACCTTGCTCGCCCGCTGGAGAAACACGAGACGACACGACCCCCGTCTCCCTCGCTCCCAGCTGCGAGGTTAGGTGCGGTTGCTCTCTTCAGCGTTCCGCGATGTTACGCAAGTCGCTTCCGCGGCTTTAAATGTAGCACGGATGACGGAATCCGAGTGGACATTAAGCATTGAGGCGAGATAAGAGAAATACGTGATGATGTATTTAACCCTGATAAACTAATTTCTCCAACTTTAAATAAATATGTGATAAAGAAAACATCTTACTCCATATAGATAGAAAGGAAGTTACAATGTTTCTTTTACAGAAGGAATTGGACTTCTCCTGATTTTATTCTGCAGAAGTTATCCTCTACTCACATACATCAAATAAACATTTTGTTTTTAATAACATCTGTTTTATAAACTTTTGCATTCTTTTGCCTATGTTCTATAAATTGCATGATATATTATTTTATCCTTGTTGTTCATTAAATGTTAAACAGGAGTAAAATTATATATTGAATTATGTGTTTTATGGAACACAGTCTTTATCGGTGGATTTTACTCCAATTTTGATTTATTCTAGAATTTTCTCTAATGCTTCTATAACACATTGTTGTTTAGGTTAATGGAACGAATGGTAGCTCGTCATTAGATTTGAAGATTTCTGGAGCAGCCCAGAGTCTTGCTGAGTTGCAATTTGAAGAGGAGGAGGAAGAAGCGTATTACAATCGTGATTTGCCTGATCATGCATGTAAATACTGCGGTATTCACGAAGCGTCCTGCGTGGTTATGTGCAATGTCTGCCGGAAATGGTTTTGCAATGGACGTGGCAATACATCAGGGTCACACATTATCAATCACCTTGTCCGTGCTAAACACAAGGAAGTCACTTTACACAGGTGGTTCATTACGTTGATACAAAAGATATGATAAAGACACATTAGAGAGAGAGAGAAAGAGAAAGATATGTATAGAAAATACTTTAAGTACTTAGAATACATTCTTTATTATGTTTCAGTTATTAATCATTTAATTAGTTATAACCAAAAATCATCATTCAGTTACAAAAATCCATTGACTTTGTTGCAGAGATGGCCCTCTTGGAGAGACTGTTTTGGAATGTTATTCCTGTGCCACAAGAAATGTTTTTGTATTGGGCTTTATTCCTGCTAAAGCTGATTCCGTAGTCGTATTGCTATGCCGTCAACCATGTGCGGCACAGACTTCTTTGAAAGATATGAATTGGTAAGGACACGATCTTTATTTTAAGAAAACAAGATATGTATTGTGTACACATAGATGTAACACCTCTAAAATATAATATAATACATGTGTCACATACAAATACATTTTAATTACTCTTTGGATATATTCAGGGATCAAGAACAATGGAAGCCTTTGATCGAAGATCGCAGCTTTTTGTCTTGGTTAGTAAAGTTCCCATCCGAACAAGAACAGTTGAGAGCTAGACAAATCTCTGCGCAACAGATTAATAAATTAGAGGAATTATGGCGGGACAATGTCGATGCTACTTTCCAAGATTTAGAAAAACCTGGAGTAGACGAAGAACCGCAGCAGGTTTTATTGCGCTATGAGGATGGATATCAGTATCAAAATATTTTTGGCCCACTTGTGAAATTGGAAGCCGATTACGATAAACGTTTGAAAGAATCTCAAACTCAAGAGAACATTGAAGTACGATGGGACGTAGGTTTAAACAAGAAGACTATCGCGTATTTTATGCTGGCCAAAACGGATGGAGATATGAAATTGATGCACGGAGATGAACTAAGACTTCGTTACCTGGGAGAACTTCACAAGCCTTGGTCTGGCATTGGACACGTAATTAAGATCCCTGACAATTACGGAGAGGAAGTCGGAATTGAACTGAAAAATAATTCTGGAGCACCGACTGAATGTATTAGCAACTTTGTCGTTGACTTTATTTGGAAGAGCACAAGTTTTGATCGGTAAGATATTGACAAAAATTGCAATATATTGATATTGTTTTCTATATAATTACAGATTTTTTATAAGTATTTTTATTTTCTTATAGAATGCAATCCGCACTACGGAAATTTGCTGTGGATGATACATCTGTGTCTGCTTACATATATCATAGACTATTAGGACACGAAGTAGAAGAGGTCCTGTTTCGTTGTCATCTCCCTAAACATTTTAGTGCACCGAATCTACCAGACTTGAATAGATCACAAGTGTACGCTGTAAAACACGCTATACAACGACCTTTATCTCTGATTCAAGGACCACCTGGAACAGGTAAAACCGTGACAAGCGCTACTATTGTATATCAATTGGTGAAACAGAATGGCGGCCCGGTTCTCGTATGCGCTCCTTCAAATACCGCTGTTGATCAATTGACCGAGAAGATACATAAATCAAATTTGAAAGTTGTACGATTGTGTGCCAAATCGCGAGAAGCCATCGATTCACCAGTGAGTTTCCTCGCATTGCATAATCAAATAAAAAACATGGAGACAAACACCGAGTTGCAGAAGTTACAACAACTGAAAGACGAAACAGGCGAATTGTCGAGTGTCGACGAGAAGCGCTACAGACTCTTAAAGAAAGCGGCAGAGAAGGAACTTCTCGAAGCGGCCGATGTAATTTGTTGCACCTGCGTTGGTGCTGGTGATCCTAGATTGCACAGATTAAAGTTCCATTCTATACTTATCGATGAGAGCATGCAGGCTACTGAGCCAGAGTGCATGGTACCAGTTGTTCTAGGAGCGAAGCAATTAATCCTAGTTGGAGATCATTGCCAATTAGGTCCGGTCGTGATGTGCAAGAAAGCCGCTAGAGCCGGTTTATCTCAGTCTCTGTTTGAAAGATTAGTAGTATTAGGAATTAGACCATTCCGCTTGGAAGTACAATATCGTATGCATCCTGATCTTTCGCGATTTCCATCTAATTTTTTCTACGAAGGTTCTCTGCAGAATGGTGTTTGCGCTGACGAAAGAAAGTTATTGAAAATCGACTTTCCCTGGCCTGCACCAGACAAACCGATGTTTTTCTACGTTACACAAGGTCAAGAAGAGATAGCTGGAAGTGGGACATCTTACTTAAATCGTACCGAAGCATCCAACGTGGAAAAGATAACGACGCGATTCTTACGTTGCGGTGTAAAACCGGAGCAGATTGGAGTGATAACCCCTTACGAAGGTCAGCGGGCCTATCTCGTACAATATATGCAGTACCAAGGTTCTCTACATTCGAAATTATATCAAGAGATTGAAGTGGCGAGTGTGGATGCTTTTCAAGGACGAGAAAAGGACATTATAATAATGTCCTGTGTACGATCCAACGAACATCAGGGTATTGGATTTTTAAATGATCCTAGAAGATTGAATGTAGCGTTGACTCGGGCAAAATATGGCATCATCATCGTAGGAAATCCTAAAGTACTTTCGAAGCAACCGCTCTGGAACCACCTACTTAGTTTTTACAAGGAGCAGAAGGTATTGGTTGAAGGACCGTTGAACAATTTGAAGGAGTCCATGATTCAATTTGCTAAGCCAAAGAAACTCGTGAACGCAGCCAATCCAGGCTCGCACTTTATGTCTACATCGATGTACGATGCACGCGAAGCCCTAATTCCCGGATCAGTTTACGATCGTTCTGGCGCTCAAGTGAATGGTACGCAGAACCATAATCCGTACTACCAAAGAAACGTGCCGCTCGACATTTTCAGTCGTACCCATGATACTATCAGCTACATTAGTCCGGAACGAGCACAAGCAGCTATGAACAACATGCCTGTACCGGTTGGTATGTTCATGAACATGGCACACGTGCCGCCGCGTTTCTACAATCAACATCAACAAGCATTGCAAGCACGTCAGAATCAAAGAAACCGACGCGGCGTCACTGCTTCAGCGAGGAATAAATCAGGTCCGCGTATGGGTAAATTGAGTCAAACCGAGCAAAATACACAACCGTACAGTCAACCGGGACTACCGCTGACGCAGGGTACGACTCAGGGCATGTCCCAGCCTGGTTTCAGTCTCTCGCAGCCTGGTCTTAGTCAAGCAGAACTTTCTCAGGACTCGTTCGCGGTTGGCGAATTCCAATCACAGATGGACGGCCTGTTATCGCAGGACTCGACTTACCAAGGCGACCGAAGTGGCTTCTATCAGTCGGGCCAGTCGCAAGCCGGAGGACAGTTCTCACAGCCCTACTGAGCCGAGACCTACCTACGGCTGAGCAACGCAATTGCCATGCCATGAAGGCTCGTTCGACCAATTCTTCTTCGACCAACAACCATAAATCACTAACTGCGCAAAACGGTACGACGGCTCGACGATCGAGTACGATATTATGCAGCATATGCTCATGTCCTCGACATGAGATAAAGGGGAGTGAAAGGAGAACGAAGGTTCCGTAAGCTAATTCGCCGTTGAAGGATTCCACCGTGGACGCGGAAACACGCAAGGCTTATGTATTTACTGACTGTAACCAGTGCAACGACGGCAGAGAAGGACATCCGTGCAGGCTGGAGAACGACAAACGACTTACTATCGATCACCGTGACAAACGTTTACTGTGAAAGGACCGTTTTATCGCGGGGATCGAGTAACGCTATAACTAAACAAAAATAGAAATGATAACACAAGGATAAAAACGGCATATAGAATGGAAGTGTATCACTTCACAATTCAATCGAATTTGACAGTCTTAACGTCACTGTGTCAAGATCACGAATGAACTTTTTAAGTAATCTTTAAGCTATAGAAGATCGGATCGCACCAAAACGTCACATATTTCTTCCACTTTGTCATGGATTTGACATTCGAACCAAATGGAAAAAGCACAGAGGAAATTAAGAAGACATATACTTTAAATTCCTTTGTATCTACCATACCTTGAACTGAGAAGTAGGTATATACCATCATACATACTTGTTACTCGAATGCGTGGGCGCACGTCACACGTACTAAGAGTCGATATCGATTTCTCCGGCGGACTTTTGTCTATGGGAATCGCCAATGTTGCATCATCGTCAGACAGTATGAAGCCAATGTTTCAACATTATCACGGAGATGGTACATCCTTTCTCAGAGGACCGGCACATTCGCTAGTCGTGAGAAATTCATCGGTGGTTTTGATCATGTTGATTAGTTTTTTCTTATTTTATATCTATTGCTTATTTTACCGCAGGGGTCAATGGAGCGCACGATTGAAAGGATTGCTTTCTTTTGGTAGATCCTTAGCAGATGAGCTAGTGGTCAGCGTGATCGAGAGACAGTATAGACGTACTGCTTACCAAAATATATTCGTTCTTTCTTTCGTGTTATATTCGTTCTTTAACCTTTTCGCAACGGAGAATGATAAATATGGGATAAAACGCTACTCTATTTTAAGAGTACTGTTTTGAAATTGAAATTTATAATTTCATCGTATTGGATACATTTATATATTGTAGAAATGTAATCATGAATCGACGAGTAAGGAATTACTGAAATTTATTTAGAGATTTGACGAGTCATCGAATTTTCTCTGTCCATATGGGAAAACATTTCCCAGCGAACTATGACAGCGGTTTCTCGTAGCGAAAGGGTTAATGTAAGAACGATTGATAAATTTAGGAAAAGCTCTTGCTTTATACTTCTTGGGTATGGCATGTGTCATACTGCAAAAATCTTGACTATACATTATTGTGTTTCAGACATTACCATTACCCCGTAATGGTACAAGTAACTCGTCAGCATTCGAAATATTTCACTTATATGTATAGAATATTGTTCTATACAATTTTATTCGGATATCGCCTTTATGTTGCTTCCGAATCCCTGCCTCCAATTCTATAATCTGTCTGTACTGGCTTCTGGCGGTAATATAAATTCATTATATTGCAATAGATTAAGTAATAATGTAACATGCATTATACAACATTAAATTGTTTTATTTCTTTTGTCTGACCAACAGCGCACCGCTAATATTATAGCAGATTATAATACTGAAATTTATTGTGAAATCTTATGGAAAAATAAATTTAGTTTGAAAGCAACATGTTCTCGCTTTCTTTGTTTATCCTATAAATTATTGCTTTCGATAAATAATAAATATATATGAATATGAATGTTATAATAATTTTGTAATGAAAAATTTTTAAGTAAAAAACTTAATTAGTTTCCAATCATTTAGAAAGTATCAGCATTTCAATATACTCTTCTATGACAAACTTTATTTCAATTTATGAAAGAGGATTTATATGTTACAAAGAAAAAGTAAAATAAACAATAATACGTATGTAATGAACATAAGAATTGGATCGGTTTTAGAGGGAACATATAACGTTAAATAAAGAAAAGAAAGAGATAAGATAAGAAACCGATCAGTAATTATTAATATTTCTTAATAAGTTTCTTCACAACAGTTGTCGATAAATGACGTAACATAAATTCTTATTTCATTATGCTTTCAAGAAGAATGTTCTTCGTTGCATTGCTATTAAGTACGAAAAACTGCTGATGTTCACAGAAAAACTGTGACATAATCAGAATCAAAGAAAAAATTATAAAAATAATGTATTTCATGCGTTTATTATATCACATAATGTAATAAATATATAATTTATTAATATTAACATATCAAGTGATATTTCTACTCCAATTTTGTTATTTAATAAAAATAAATTATTTGTAAGTTGAATATGAGAAGCTATATGATTATTTCATTGACTAAATGGAATAATAATAATGGTAATAAAACAGTAATATAGAAAGTTTCTATAATAATTACATTATAAAAATTTTACATTTCTCCCTGTACATTATGCACGCTACTACATTTGTATTTCGTGCCCGAATACATCGCACTGCCGCGACTGTCGCCAGTGCCGCCTCGTGGTCGAGTCATTAAGCACGCGAATTGAGGGACCGTCCATTTCTTCGAAGATTTGAAAATTTAAACGTCTAACGAGATTTATTGGTGTGACGATTTGTGTTGGTAGCCACGGACACGGGTGTGCGTGGTGTGAATCAGCGGAGACACTCATCGTCGCTGGGACACACGTTTTCTGGGAGGATTCAGCCGCCAAATTGAGAAATCGAGCGACGGCAATTACGATAAACAATCCTCCGATTGTGTCTCCGATCGCGTTTCGAACGCGCCGTACAATCGGTAGCGCGGCCCAGAGGTGGAAGGTAGCTCTCCCACAAATTTCCCCAAGTTCGTCTGAGGGCAGATTAGGGCAACATGGCTACTACGGTCAGGTATCGGTATTCCCTTCCTTGTTTCGTGTTTTTCACGTGACGTTCGTTCTCGCGATTCTCTCCTGCGTTGTAATTGTATTGTCGAAACCGAAAAATATTTCGTGTCATCTGTGTACTTTATTTGTACACAGCGACACATTCCACGTAGATACACGTGTTTACTTGAGCAGGTAGTTTCTAATGGAATGTGCGTGTTCTCGACGAGGATATTCATGCGATCGTACGTCAGTATTACCCTTTCCGACGTTTTGATCACCGCGCAGTTTCTCCGTAAACAGATTTCTGTAGGTCTGTAGAAAACAGGCACTGATTATATGATACATGGTATCTGCAATTTTTGCGAATCGTAAAAAAGCTAGCGAGATAAATGTTTGCTGTGGGGGGTTCATCCCCTCCTCGACCTCTTTTAAAACTCATACGCATTTCAAAATGCGCAGAAATTCGTTCGAAAAAAATTATCCCTTTTGTTTCATGTCCGTTTCTACTAATGTAGATTAACTTTAATTTTGGTTTAACTTACTGTTGACCTTTTTCTAATCTTAACAATTAGATAGAGATAAGTAAAAAATTCAGCTAAGGTTAATTTTATATCGATAGGATCGAGTATCAGTGGTTTTTTTTTATCGTATGTCTTTATAGGATTTTTTTATAAGTTTGTGTATGAGGTTTCTTAATGTAGCATTGTTATATTTCTCTCTCTCTCTCTTTTATAAGTATATTTTAACGAAGGCAATTATTTTTAAAATAGAAATAAACATATTGTATATTTATTAATTATAATCGAGTCTTTTAGAGAGTTGAGTATTTGTAAATTATGCCATTTTACAAAAAGCTAACATTTTCATAAAAACCTTAAATTTACAAAGAATTTATTAAATAAAAATCACATATGTGCGCGTAAGCACATATTTGTACATAAAATGTTCGTTTATGATTGACATATTAATGCTTTATAAAAAAAAATAAGTGCTTGCAATGTGTTTACTGATTTAAAAAAAAATTTTAATAAAGTCTAGTAATTTAAGTTATAATACGTTTATAATAAAGAATACTAAACGAAAGCAAATTTTTTGTAGCAGATTTCATTTTTATGCTTTGGAGATATGTACATAAAATACAAGAATTTAAAAAAATTAGAAAGAAAATATATTTATAACGAATATTTATTTATATATAAAAGTTATTTTTAATTTTTATTATATAATGCAGGAATCTTTAAATTTTGCAAATTCTAAAAACTGTATATTTGTGATTGTACAAATTAATAGTATTTGTAATGTTCTTTAAAATATGTATACTAAAATTAGAATAAATTGTAATTATTAACTTTTATATTTATATTTATATGCGTATTCTGGGGAGAAACTTTTAGAATTTATATTATATTTATTCAAAGTTAATTCATATGTTCATATTATAACAATTTTTAAGTTTTGAATACTCCAAAAGCTATGTATTTGTAGTGTGCTGGTTATATTTATAACATTCTTTAGAAAATTTATAATATATGTATACACGATTAGAATAAATTTTGATTATTAACTTTTACATTTATTTATATGTGTATGTCCTCTAGATCTAACATCCTGTAACATAATACTATTTCCTACATATATGTTTTAGATCTCTAATACTTTCTAACAAATTACTAACATCCTTCATGTTACTAATTCGTAGTAAAAATATATAATAATATATTTTATTGTATTACATACAATAAAATGTATGCATGAAATAACATTAGCATGTTTCTGAAATAATTTATATTATTTTGTCCTTATTCTGTAACAAATTACTAACATCCTATATTTTGCAAATTATAATAAAAATAATATTACATGCAATAAAACTTATGCATAAATTAACATAATACATTGCTGAGATAATTCTATTACAATTTATGTCATTTTAAGTAATTTATATTGTAAATTAATAAGTTCCTACACAATGGTAAAAGACTTGCAATACTGTTTTTCTTTCAGGAGATTGTGACACAACAAGCAAATTGTATGTTATGTATTGTCAAAAATTCTGAAAAAGAGAAAAAGAGAGAGAAGAGAGAAACAGAGAGATAAATGGAATAAAGACATTAAATTTCAAATGACGAAAATCTTTGGAAATTAGGCTTCAGAAGCATACATCTTGCACAGGCAAAGTTGTATATGTAAAATTATTATAAAGTTGTATATGTAAAAATATAACATAAAAATTTGAGACTAAGAGAATTTGATAATAATCTATTAAAAATATGCACAGACTGTTTGGTTTGTCTTATGTATGCATATATCTTTAATATAGTGTTGTTATGTGCGTGTGAAATTATTCGTTAAGTACAGTTATTAATTTACATTACAATTTGTTTTTACAGCTCTGTATATTTCACATGCATTCATATTTATAAATTCCATGACAAGAGATAGACAGAGTGAATTATAGTATCTCATTATTTTTAAATTCCTAATCTCATTGTTATACAGTCTCTTTACATTACAGCTGAATTATTATATATATATATATATCTGTTGTGTTAAATTTTAGATTTAACATAATAAGGTCTCAAAAGATACAACATATATAATATCTTGCAAAACTACATTAAAAAAGTAAAATATATATAAAAGGAAAGAAAATATAAGAAGCTTGAAGCTTTTCTAAGTATACATGTGAACGTGTGTACATTGATTTGATGAAATATCAATTATTGCAAGATATATTTAATATTAATAATAATTATAATATTGTATGCTTTATTGATTGCCTTATTGATTACTACAAATATTTATGAGTGTTATTAAGTGCAATATATACTGATACATTAAGAATTAAACAAATAAACAATCCAAAAAGGAGATCTAATATCTTGTATACTTACTTGACTATGTATCATACTGTATATCCATCACAAATGATGGTGCAAATAATGGGAGGACACCAAACAAGTGGACAATGTCCACCAACACAAAATCACACTTTGCACATTAATGGTGTAAATGCATTGCATCAATCTGATTTCTCACAATACGGTCCGAACATGTCCTCTGGACACAACAGGCATCGTACGATACAGGTATATTTTAAATCTTTTAGATTTAATTTAAATTATATGTTCTCCAGTGTGTTATTAATTAAATTATGTATATTAGTATTGTTTGTTGCAATCCTCTCTTTATTAATTATACATATTTTATGCTTTCTCAAATATGTAATATAACAATTATTGATGTAAATGCAGCAAATAAAAATCTATTTACGATTGACATAAAAATATAATCGTCTATATCATTTAGAGAGAAATTAAATTTACATATATGTAATATATTGTAACATTTTTAAACAAATTTTAATCAAGTTTTATCGTAATATGCATTAATATTAAATATTATGTATGATAGAATTTTTGTTTTCATTTATGAATGTATCTTGTGTTATGCTCATGTAATATCTCTTTATTCTTTATTAGAATATACAAATAATGCTCTTGCAGACAGGATCTCCACTGGATTTATTACAATTAATAGGTGTCGATGTACCATCATTACGACGTATAGAATACATACAATCGAACAATAATTCATCTTCTATAAATTGGGAAAGACGCATAAATACATCCAACAACTCGTCAATTATACCATTTTCAAATTATAATTTCAAGCCTACAAATACTAATTCGACAAAGAAACCATGTTGGAATAACAGAAATAGCAGACGGTGTTCATATAGGAATTTCTCAAAATACGAGGCATATAATAGTGATAGTGGGTTTAGTTCTCGTTCACCAACTCCAAATAAACATTTCATTGACAATAGTTTAACAGAATCTTCAGACGAACGAGATTCTACAAGTTCAGTAAGAGGACAGTGGCTAAAGTAATTATTATACATTTTTAGAATTATCTGTTACTGCCTGATTTCCGAATATATTGTTTTTTTCTTCATAAAATCTATATTAAATACACAAAAGAGAAAATAAAATAGGTGGAAAAAGAGTAGGAGAAAAAACAAAATTATAATAGCAAGATTAGAAAAGAGGATAAGAAAGTGTAATATCTTTGTAATTTTAAGAAAACATTAAATATAGAAGAAATATACACAATATATATACTCGTATGCACAAATAATATATATATATATATATATACACATACGTACTAAATATGAATACATACATAACTAAATTATTAATTATTAATTAAAATTAAATTTTTAGCAAAAAGCATCATAAAGTATATCCGGATAATAGAGCATATAATAATACAGTAGATGGCTTAATTTCAAATGCTTCTGCACATCAGTTTTATCCAGCTCAACGGGCCAATAGTTACGGTACTTCCACTCCGAGATCACATGTGCAAAATTATCAAAACAGAAGACGATATTTGTCAGGCAAGCATTTTTTCTAGTTAATAACATAATATGCTCTAGGATTTTAAAAAATTATATATATATTATAAAATACATACATTAGAAAATAATTTACTTAAAATTAACTAGGATTCGTTTTTAGGCAAGAATGAAAATGCATCTTCACAAAGATTTTCACGAAATCGTAAATATTCTGAAGTATCGAATTATGATATGTTTCCCGGATGTATTGCAGCTCCTGATAGATTTCTTGCCAGATCTCATTTAGTACAAGTAACTTCTGTACCGAATAATCTCGTTATTGGATCATCATGGGATGATCTATCCGAACAAATTTGGTGTAAATTTATTGCGCACCAACAAACCGAAGTTACTTATAGAAAGAAAATGATGTTATGGAAGCATCTTAACACATACATGAAGGTAAAATATGAAAGAGAAAGGCAAATAAGACTTATACTCCTATTCTGTAACTCTTAACAACAATATTGTTACATTCTTATTACGCAGCGTTTTTACCATATCTAAAACTTACACAATGGCAATATAACGACACTGTCATTAAAAATTACTGAATAGGAACTTTAATATAGCAAAATAAAATATTGCCAAGATATCTTTAAAAACATTTCGAAATAGCATACTAATATTTATTAGTTACTTATATGTATTAAGAAATAATTTTTTTAGACTTTATATCCAAACTGTAGTGTATTTGTGGTTGGTTCAACAATGAATGGATTTGGTTCAAATGATAGCGACATTGATGTGTGTCTTTTAATGAAACACGCGGAACTGGATGTGAGATGCATAGCTATAGAACATTTATTAGAAGTGCTAAAGCACCTTAAACAAAGTAGTACGTAAAATTCATAAATATGTTCATAAAAATTTAATGAATTAATAAAAAATTAATATATTTACATATGCACACACACACACACACACAGTAGTTTAATGGTAATTTTAACTCGTCTTTTGTGTCCAGATTTCGTCGAACAACTCGAAATTATACATGCAAAAGTACCTATTATCACGTTCTTTGATATAGTACGAAAATTTAAAGTCGATTTAAATTGTAACAATTCTGTTGGCATTAAAAACACACGTTTACTATATTGCTATTCCAAACGTAAGTTCAATAACTTTTGCGTCTACACGAAAATAAATATTTATCTACGATTCAAATAAATATTTTAATCATTATTTGTATAAATATTTTTTTATAGTTGATTGGAGGGTAAAACCATTAGCGCTTGTTGTTAAACTTTGGGCTCAGTGGCATAATATCAATAACCCAAAGTGTAGGACACTGTCCAGTTACTCTTTAGTTCTCATGGTTATACATTTCTTACAATGTATGTACGCTACAAATTTTTACTGCTGTCTCTTTTGTAGCCTAATCTATTTTTAATTAAAATAGAACACAAGTGTTGTTTTTGTAGGTGGTACCAATCCTCCTGTTCTTCCATGCTTGCATTCAATGTTTGCAAACAAATTTAAGTCGGACGCAGATATTTATAATATCAATATTCATGAAGATTTGAACATTCCATCGTCCAGTCATTTACCTGAGAATCATCAATCTTTAGGGGAATTACTATTTGAATTTTTCAAATATTATGTTGAATTTGAGTAAGTAATTTTGAATACAAACATACATAATATTACAACATAACAGTGACAGATAATATTTAACTCATATTATTAAATTAGCTTCAATCAATACGCGATATCCGTACGTTTAGCAAGCAAAATACCGAAAGAGGAATGTCGTATGGTACAATCATCTAAAAATGATCCTTATCAATGGAAATATCTGTGTATTGAAGGTAATAGAATGTTCTTTACTTTATAAAAATGATTGAAAGTATTACTTTTCATTATATTTATCTATTATTGCAATATTATAGAGCCATTTGACTTGACTAACACAGCTAGATCAGTTTACGATCCGGACATATTCTCTAAAATTATATTCATATTAAATATTACATATACAAGACTAAAGCGAAGATATAATTTAAACGATGTGTTTGGCGAGATACATTTAATGATGATTGGTACCGAATGGGAGCTAACGATAAGTGACGAAGAATGATAAGGTCGTCTTATGTGACGTGTTTACCTTGTGATATTGAGCCTTATTTTTAAATAATTTATACTGTTTGCAAGGTACAAATGTGTCCTCCATTTAATAACCTATTTTTCCTTTTTGGAGGATTTTAAAATCACAAGTACACTATCAGGATGTTACATATATAGTTAATAATATGTATGTAACTTATTACTAACTATACATGTAACATTCCAAAAGAAATGTTGCTCTCTATCTGCATTTACTAGCGTGCAAAAAAAGTATTTCATTCTGGTATAAAAGATTGGACATACAGATATATTATTCTTATCCAAACTTTAAAATTGTGATGTGTGCAATAAAGTCTGTTATTTTATATTAAAATCAATTAGGCTTGTTTAGATTTAAAAATTTCTCTAAATCTTTAATGAGATAATTGTAATGCATTATATGAAAAACTTGTACATCATAATATGCTGTAGGATATTATTTTAATATCACATGTTAATTTTTGGTACGATTAGCAATCTATAATTTGTGATATTTTCGATTAACAATATGTTGATGATTATTTTCTCCGTTTTATAATTATTTTTTAACGTTATAAACGAAATTTCATTATTGTTTATTATCTTTTAATAGCTTCATCTTTATATACAATATGTATTTAATAAGTAATGTGTGCAATAAAATTTACAATACTACCCGCTAAACACTTTATGTGACAGAAGTCATGTTAACGATAATTATGATAGCCGCGATTAGATTCTGCATATATTGATATTAGATGTGAAACTCGAGCATGAGTTAAACAGTAGTTATAGAATGTTTTCATTATGGAAGAATTACATTGAATAATTGCAATACAATAATAATAATTGTTGTAATGGTGTAACTATTTAATTATTGAATTGCGAAGCATTACCTAATTAAAGATTTAGAGAGAGAAAGAGAGAGATACAGAGACAGAGAGATGGATATCTAAACAAGCCTAACTAATTGTAGTTTTAATATGAATTAGAAACTTTAGTGCATATATCGCAATATTAAAGTTTAAAGAAAAATAATATCAGTACATTTGATCTTAAATATCAAAATTAAATATTTTTTTTGCATTCTAATTAATTTCTTTATAGATAATTAAATAGTTACATGATTACAACATAATAATTACAAAATAATGATTGTATTGAAATTATTTAATACAATTTTTTCCAATGTGTATATTGGATACTCACTATCTCACACACATACACACACACCCCAAGTTTTTCATTTAATATCAATAAATTTAAAATATAAAATTTCTTATATGTGGTTATCGTAGTTACTGTTAACATGATTTTATGGATTATTTATTAAATATATGAAAAAGGGGAAATTAAAAAAATCGTAAAGAATAATGAAATTTCGTCTTTGACATTAAGAAATGATTATCAAATACAAAAATAATTACTAGCGTAGTCTCTATTAAAAATGTTTAAAAATATAAATACGCATCTGATATTAAAATAATATCCTACGATATTACATATAAAAATAAAAAAGAAGGAAGTAGTATAATTAGTTGCTATTTCTAAAAAAAGAAAAGTACATATGAGCATAGAATTATGAAAAATATAAACTTTTAGAATTGTCATTTGCAAAATATTAAAAACAAAAAAAAAGGTAAAGATTTGCTAAAAATAAAAAAATGTTGGAAATTCGAGAAATGAATTAATTATTTACGTTTATAGTGTTGTTCAGATAAAGTCAATGTATGACTGGTGTAGAGATTAGCAAGACTGTGTTTCTTTTAAAAGGATTTAAGAATTTTCTAAATTCCTCAGTAACTATCCTAAAATTTACAAAAACGTAGCTTATGTCAATCGAATGATTTATAACTTAATCTTGAATTACGGGATATAAATGGATAATATATGTAAAAACTAGAGTGAAGATTTCTAATATGTTGACAATCAAAATGCTATAAGAAAATTTCTGGATATAAATAAATATATAATCTCATTTCTCAATAAAGTGTTTTTCACAAATATTTTTTCATAGATATTTATTTCTTTTTTTATCAATTAATATTTACGCACCATTGATTAATAGTTATAATTCCATATGACACAATTATGTGTTCCTGGCCATCCAAATTATTAATTTTATTATACATCTTGTGTATAATAAATACAAAAATTCAAGATAAAGTTACTTCTTGTAATCATTAATATCAGAAATAAGTAACAATTTAATTAAGTTAAAAGGTGTCAAATTTTCATTTATAAAATTATTTCATACATTAATAATCCTTACTAGAAGAAACACTCAAGCTTGATACTACTTTTTTTTATTTGCCAAAGGAGGATATACTATTTCCATTCTTTTATTAATATAATTTTCTACTGATTAATCTTCAAAAAAATATAAAACACTATACATGGTGTTCTTGAAAATAATATGTGAAAAATAAAATTGTGTTTGCAGTATAACAAGTAAATTACTATCATAATTATATGCTTCAATTTCAAATCTACACATGAATAAAATAACAAATAAATAACATCTGTTAATTTGCACGATAAATGTAAGATATGAAATAGTATACATATTTTTCTTCATGTGTGTATGTGATTTGCAAAATTCCTGTGGCTAATGAAAAGACTAATATCTTAATTTTGATATTCGACTATATATATCTTTTTGTAATATATTACACAAATCATATCTAATACTTCCCTAAGTGCTTAAATTAACTTTTCAATGGTATTATAAATAATAAAAAGAAGTATAATGATAAAGTCAGTTTATGCAGCCATCAAATTATGTCACTTAGGAAAATTTGCAGCAGTATGTTTTTCTATCGAAGTTAACGCTTTTCTAAATTTATGAACTAAAAGCAACCTTCTGTAATCCAATTTTCTTGTTAAATAAATGCAATGTTTACACATGTAGCGTGTGCTTACTTATTTTGTTCCTTTACGATAGAAATCAATAATTATTATATATCATCTGTATACGTATTGCGGATAGGAAAAACAAATTTTGAGATGTATTGATATTGTAAAAATATTTAATTATTATTCGCGAATTTACACAGCAAAAAATTATTAAAATATATATATATATATATATATAATATATAATATATTTAAAAAAATGTATTATATTTTAAACTTTTAAAGGATTACATCTATTTCAAAATATTCATAGTTACTTGTTTTTCGGGATTCTCTTACGATTACTTGCTGTTACAGGGAATAAGAATATAGCTTCGATCCATTTTCTAAAATATTTTAATGCAATTTTATTATTTTATCCAAATTATTTTATTTAAATAGTATATAACAAAAATTAATGTGTCATTTCTTACTTATGACATCACGTATTATGGTCACGGCGACTGCTCAGAAACTTTAAGGACTTTTTATTTTTGTAATTTATGAAAATTTCTTTAAAAACACCTTAAATTTTTCAACTTGTATAAGTTTCCTTCAGCAACAGAATAAACGCCAAAATTATAGTAGAAAAATAACTATTTAATTTAAAATATATATTTAATAGACGGAAGATTCTCTATTCGATTTTTGCTATCAATTTACCATTACATTTCTGTTAACAAATTCTGTTATATTTTTTCTGACAAAATTTATAGACAATTTGTAAAAATTCTGCTCCCTATAAATAGACATAAAGATAGAAGAATATTCATTAATGTTTAAGTTTTTTGTATATTCTTTACGCATAATGTATAAGATATGTGTACATTTAATATATATATTTTAACTATTAATAACCCTTCTTTGTTGATAAGCAGTCTAGCTTAGGTTTTCCAATTCAAAATTAATTTTTTCAACGGTGTTTCATTAAAATTTTGTATTTACTGTATAATATAAAATTAAGTAAAATTATACAGTGTTTTTTAAATTACATTTTTATACATTATTATAAATTTTTTAAAATAATCCTTTCTCTTTCTCCTTCATCTACTGTTATAATTATATCTACGTAAGATTTAAATATTATAAAACTTATAAGGAAGAAATTCATTATACTTTTATTAGAAGGTATATGATAGTGGCATATTAAATGGCTGTTCGAATTGTTTTTAATGTAATCGATACCCTCTGCATTGATATAAATCCATTCGCAGAACACTATTCCTAAATAAAAATCAAAGCTAACATTCCATCTCGTCTTCTCTCTATTATAATATATTAATTCTTATATTAGCTTGAAGAACAAAGAAATTTCGATATATATATTTATATATGTATATTAAAAAATTTTATTTAATTTACAAAAGAAACAATTTGTAAAAGAACAGTGCAAATACCATTATGTCTTACATAATGGTCGCATTCATAGCAGATTCAACAATTTTACAACTGTTTTATGATTTCGCTGAGATAAGATTGTTCCTTTAGATCTAAGAGTATAATCCAATCAGCGAGACGAATCATAAAACGATTGCAAAACTATTCAGTACTGAACGCAGCCATTATGTTCCTACCTCTTTCTCCTATTTCGTTATTAAATAATTTTATTTTTATTTTCTATTCTTCTCTCATTTATGGAGATCCGATTTAACACTCGACGCTCATTTTCAGCATCAAAATAGATTACATGATCAAAATTAATGCTAAATAAAAATTAAATGCATAAAAATAATACCGTGTACTTATATTATGCATACAATTTCGAACCGAGTAATATGTGATGAATTTATTAATCCAGAATTAGAGTGCGTAGGGAGAATATAGCGTTATTTGTGTCATTATATCGTTGTGTGATAGTCTAATGAATAGGTGATAAATAAATTCTAAATAGAACTCAGGTTACATGAATTAGGGAGAAAGAGAAAGAAGAAAAACTTTCTAGGAAGAAATATCGAGATTCTAACCACGTGACCATATTGGCGTTGCTTTTGATTGAGTATCTCTGGGAACAGTTGGGAGTCTCCTCTTAGTGAAGACCAATACGCAGATAGATATCACGTAAAGTGTATTATTTGTGTATGATTTTGTGTTATTTGTGAAAATAATACACGAGCCACAATGTCGTTTAAAATTGATTTAAAAAATTTTTCCGAAGAAATGATTCCAACGTTAACGGCTGAATTAATCGGACATTTTAGTATTGATGGTGATATGCAATATCATGCCGATTTATCGCAACTGAAGTATTATATTCCTCCTTCGGATCCTAACAATGTTGATTTCGATCTCAACAAAAATTTTATACATACCCATTACAGACCTACTTTGTATGTGAAATTGGATAATATATTAAAATGGATTTCTAACAATTTTCATCGACTTGAAAAACCACTATCAGTACAAGAAGAACGTTGGTATGTTGATAAATCATCTTTTAAGAATATTGGATAGTAACTATAAGTTAATAAGTTAAAAATTAAGTATTAAAGTTAAAAAATTGAAACACATTAATTTTAACGTATTAACTTTTTCAAGGTTAAACTTTTTTATTAAATTGCAGTCTGATTTTTAAAGAACCTTGTTTTTTAAATTTTAATTATAAAATTTTTTGATCTTGAACCGCGTATCAATATTTTTTAAATAAGGTTTTAAACATTAAATAATTAGAAAAAGTTCAGTAATCGTAAAAAGTGTAATGTCTTAATCTCCTGGCACTTACTCTTATCCTTGTGTTCTTTAAAAAAAGAAAACAAAATTGTTTCCTTAAAAGTTTGTTTCGTCAATTAAAATTTTATCTTTGTACATTACTTTAAATAACACGTAACACAATTGTGTTATAATAATTGTTAATAATAATTGTTAATACTTACATAATAATCAGTATCTTTATTTAAATTTCTTGTATGTTTAATTTTTTGTGTATATAATTTTTTAATTGACGTTAGATTGACAATTATAGAACCGATGAATATCGTATATTGTATAATAATTGACAAACATGCGAAAAGTAGTGCCCCGGTACATATTATTATTTAAAATACATTAGGGGAATTAAATTAAAAGTTTTGTATATACTGAAGATGGTCACATTAATGACCGAAACGTTTATATTTATGTAATTTTAGTATTATTAAATACACGAGATTTTCGCTACCTTTAACCAGCGTGTGGTATATGCTCCTTCTTCTTATTTTTAATTTTTTAATGATTATTTATTTCATAATTAAAGAAAAAATACATTTTTATATAAAAATGTAACAAAAATATATTTCTTTAATATTTTATATAAACTTTATCTATACAAATAAAATATTAAATTTATTCGATCATTCTTTATTGTTATTATTTTTTGTTTAGAGTAATATAATTTTTAAAAAATTACATTTAATTTAATATAAATAAGGTAAACATGCCAGTGACTGAACATGTATCTAATGGCTATGTCCAGATATTTACATAAAACTTTATTTGTTTATATTATTATCCTTATAATCCTTGTAAGTTTAGCTTTGGTTTATGCAACTTTTAACTTTATATATTGCATAAATATATGTATATACATATATATATATATTTATCATGTTTTAAGTGCAAACATTTTTTGGGATTTTAAACAATACGATAAATCTATTGTATCATCTTTCAAAATTATTTGTAAATAGATTACATGAAATAAATGATTAAGCGCACAAATAGCACTCTTTACGCATCATATAAAAAAAATTATTTTTGCAATTTTTTTATGTTATGAGTATATTTACTGAGTAATCATTTTTGTTCTAATTATAATAGAAATAAATTAATATTAATTAGGTTGGATATTGATTTCATTGCTTCTCGTGGGGCAATAAAAGCAATGTTATCTAGCCCATATAAAATGCGTGACGAATTGATTATTTGCGCCAGTAAATATCGTGGTACAATTTATTTATGTGAATTTTATTCGGATAAAAGAGAATATGATTACGTCAATTTATCACTATCAAGAAGACAAGTACATTCATGGGGATATAAGTTTGAGCAGTATATGGTAGCAGGTATTTTATTTATTATATATGAAAATTTAATTATATATTGCTTTTATATAATACTTCAGGTATATTTAATAAATAAAATGGATTGTGCCTGTTATACAATTAATTAATATATGGATTTTTTCAGATCATCCATCAGGTACACCAGATTTAAAACGATCTCTTAATGAGTGTGAACAATTTTTCTGTATGTTTAAAGCAAACTTTGACAATCATTCGTTATTATACGCGGCAGAAATAGATGGTATTTCTTCGCAACAGCTAATAACAGATACACTTGAAGGCAAAACTTTTGAATTAATTGAGTTGAAAACATATCCACTACCTAATGAAGAAGGAAATATACATGGCAAAATTTCCAGCTTGAGAGTGATGGAATGGTGGAGTCAGAGCTATTTGGTACATTTAAATAAAATTATATGTGGATTAAAAGATAAAAATGTAGTAAGAATGATAAAAGAATATTCAATAAATGATTTGTCAAAGCTTTCAGAGGTAAATAATTTTATTTTGAAATTTGTGCAACAATGGTGATTTAAGAATTTATTATTGTAAAATTATGTATTTATATTGCAGCCGTCTTGTGATATAAACAAGTGTAAAATATTTTGCAAGATATTTCTAGACAATATCAAAAGAATTGTCACTAAAAATTATAATGAATGCATATATAAATTTTGCTGGACACCATTCACTGAAGATGTTGTAAATTATAGTGAAGAAGCTGCTGATAACGAAAAATATTTTTTCTTGCAGTCATGGTTTGTTGATAAAGCAGAGGAATACAAAAAACGTTTTCAGTAAATTATACTGACTAAACTATGAGATTTTTTATTAAAAAAAAAGATACTGATCATATGCAAATATAAATGTAAGAAATATGTTAATGACAATGTTTAAATTTATCTTATACGTATTTTATAGTATATATATATTTTTTTAATCTCTTAATTTCGTGTTTGAATCATAACGTTATACTATATATTAATTACCTAATATATGAGATGCATTCAGTCTTCAGTCTTACTAGAAACGCTTTGAAGCATATTTGATTAAATCAGAAGAAACAATTCCTTGCGAAAGTAAAGCCGTAAGGTAATAAGAAGAAATATGAGTCGAAAAAAGAGTTGTAAAAAGAGAATGACAGAAGCGTAATTAAAGCGTTTTAGATTAGAACAATGAAAAAAGAAACATTAAAATGTAAACGTTTCATGCTTCATTTACATTTCGTTATTCCTTAGAATATTTTGCTATATTTTTGTTATTTTCCCTTTATATGTCCGGTTTATGCTCCGATTTCGATTCCGTATTTTCGTTAAGGATTTTACGAATCGAAGAATACTTCAAAACATTTATATGATATTACGTTGATCGTACTTACAATAATACATAATACATAATCATATATACTAATAGTGACTAATAAATTTTAAAATATAATTTTAAAAGAAAAATATTTTACCTGAAATGATGACATTAGCTCTGAAATAAATGCACAAAGAGATATTTTAATTATAATTTTTAAATAATAAAAAATTATAAACAACATATAGTTACTTATGTGTTTTTTATGTATATTTTTAAAATTCTATTATAATATATCTAACACGATCATAATTTTTCCTTGTATAATAGAATAATCTTGTGTGTGTGAGTAGAGATTTTTCCTCATTATCATTAAAGGAAGTTGTGGGTGTAAAAGTTGAATAATCTCTTTGCTGAAATATATAGATTATCATCCTTGGTTGTATCAGGCCACATATCATATAATACTTTCTTTCATTTGTATTTTATATTTTCTAATAAAATTAATTTTACATGGTTAATATTAGTAATTAGAAAATAAACTCGGAAAGAAAAGGGGTTTTATTATATGAATTAGTAATTAGGTTGTGGTTGCTGGGTCAACAGTAGACCACATCTTTTTATTGTAATCCTTTCTCTTGAATATTTGTCCTCTACAGAAAATCGAGCTGCAAAAACATTTAATATCAAGCATTTTTTAAATTCTATATAATGTATCTGTGCAATAAAAATATATTAATAATTTACCTGGATGTGCAGACATTGTAGGATTTCCATTACGGTCTACTTTCTGTAAAAATTTAATAATTAAAAAAAAAAGAGGAAAAAATATATAAAATTAGCTAAAAAGATTTTGTTACAAAAGAAAAAAAATTGGCATAGAAGAAGTAACAATAATATTCAAAATCAATATTGAAAGATACAAAGGTATATGTAATAATACATATATAATTTTATTGTAAATATATTTAATACCTATTTGTACAATATATTCTACTAAATTATAGATGTGTTTGGAAAGATAGTACAGTTATGTTATTTTATATTCATTTTATTCTTTGTTTTAATGCTTTAAGGATAAGGATAGAATGACACAAAGAGCGCTAATAGCATTTTTTCGAAGGCATTCTATATTGCCATAGAAAGTGATATATTGGATTGTAACAAAAGCTGCGTTCGGCAATGCAAATCCGAGGCGTCGGAGTGCTCTTTTTCTATAGTGCACGTGACATATACTATAATATAAGAGCACTCCGACGCCTCAGATTTGCTATTACCGAACGCAGCTAAAGAAAGTAATGCGTTAATAACACCATTATTATTACTATTTATTAAATAAGAAATTAGTAACATTATGTTTTTTATTTTACTAATAATATAATGGTAAAATGTATGTACATACAATCACATGTTTTTTACGCTACTTTAATTGTTTTTCAATCATTTTTTGAACGCGGATCTCTATTTGTTTCTAGGGAAAATTTTTTACCCCCTAGAGGAAAGGCACATAGAAACAAATTTCAACGTTGGTTACTCTGCGTTGGTCTGCGCACAGCGCGCCGTGATTATACATCTTCCGGTAGAAACTCATGTTTCTCTGTGGCCGTGTGACTCTTTTCCGGTGAAATCCCAAAATGACGGGCTTTAGCGAGAAGGTTTGTATTCAGAGATTTAATATTTTTGACAGTTTAAGTAATTCTTACGCGGTGTATGTACGGGATCGCGGTTACTTAACATGTGGAATAACGCACAAGTTGTTTTATATTCCTCGGAAATTTGCTGTTACTAGAAAAAACTGCTTCGCTAATAAACGTCACGCACGTGGTAGTTCTCCAAGCTAATCGTATATTCTACGCGGAGATCGGAACGCATTATATATTGAACGATATAAATTTCAAACTAGGGATTTGATTTTCTCAATATAATATTTTCGCGCTTCAAACTGCACATTGTATATATTGTGAATATTGTGACTCGCGTATAATACTTCTAGGTAGCATTATAGGTTTGTCCGTATTGCTTGCAGTTTTTGTATTAAGCATCTTCATGTTCCTCCTTTTCAACATTTATCTTGTTTTAAACTCAAAAATATTTGGAGATTTTAGGTAACGCAAATACACTTTATATGTCTGTCCACTTTGCTTGAAATTTTAACAAATTTTTGCATTTAAAATGTAAATGTATATATTCGGATGTTGAAAAGAGATTAAAGATGTCGAGTGCTAAGAATACAAGCAACATGTACAAACATATTGTTGAAGCAAGAATTACTTGTACTACACAATGGTCAATTTTCAATTTCTTTGGAGGTTATTACTGTTTTAGCCAATATTGATAGATGGCCGTGGCCATTTACTTGGACGATTGGCTGCAATTGTTGCCAAAACCATCCTGCAAGGCAACAAAGTTATTGTCGTACGCAGCGAACAACTCAACATTAGTGGTAACTTCTTCAGGTTTGTCAAGCCCTTATTAACTGTCTTGGATATGTTTGGTTTATCCATGATACACTATTTTGTCATTGTTTCACTGAAACAATGATGTATCATGTGCATCATGTGTAAAATAAAACGCAGCCTTTATTTTAAATGTTTGATATATCTAATTAAAACTAAAGTAGTAAAATTAAAGTAATAAAATTTATTCAAAGATAAACAAAAAAGGCTAATCAAAGTCAGTGCAGTAATTACATTGCAATAGTAAATTTGAAATCAATTTGAAGTGTCATACATTTAGTATTTTGACAAATGCATGTCTGAATATTTGTTAAAATATTAAATATGTAAAACTTCCAAGTTAGTTTAAAATTTATTGTTGTAATCTAATATTGACTCCTATTAATGTTCTTTGTTTATTGTTTTATGAATTTTAAGAAGTTCTACTAATTAAATTGATTTATAATATTTATTATGTAATAAGAATTGATAATAACATTTATTATATTGATACTTGTATTGCTATTTTATTTTATCATATAAGAAAATATGGCTTGAGTAATAGTATAATTAATATTATCTAGTATTGTACATATGTAGTAAAGAATAATGATGGTAAGGTAATTTGCGTCTGAAGTTAGTCTGTTTGACTTTTATGATAGAAATTTTAAACTGAATCATGAAATTTTATGTAATCTTGCTATAATGTTGAGACAATATAGATACCAAATATATATTTTTTGTTTTTAGGAACAAGTTGAAGTTTATGTCTTTTCTGCGAAAAAGATGTAATGTAAATCCTGCACGTGGTCCATTCCACTTCCGAGCGCCAAGCAAGATCTTTTGGAAAACAGTTCGCGGTATGTACAGTTGAGATTATATTACTGTTATGTAGAATAAGGATATTGCACATGATTAACAATCATACTTACCTACATTATTTGATGAGATATGAAAAAAATTGCTTTTTATGATGCCAAGATTTCATATACTCTCTTATGACGAAACAAGTGTAAGAAGAGATATTAAAAAGACTCATTTACAGGCATGATCCCACATAAGACACAAAGAGGCAAAGATGCTCTTAGACGATTGAAGGTTTACGAAGGTTGTCCACCACCATACGACCGCAGGAAGCGTGTTGTTGTACCAGGTGCTATGAGAGTGATGTGCCTCAAACCAGGCCGAAAAGTAAGATGTACTATATGTATTTAAATTTATTTAAATTATTTTTTATGCTTGGATTTATTGAAATAAAAATGATGGTATGGTAATTTGCGTCTGAAATTAGTCTGCTTGATTGACTACTATGATGGTTTCTTAAACTGAATTATAAAATTTTACACAAAACAGTTTGTTACAATATTGAAGTAATACAGACACTGACATAATTTCGATTTTCAGTACTGTCATGTGGGTAGATTGTCTCATGAAGTTGGGTGGAAATATAAGGATGTGGTTCGCACGTTGGAGAACAAGAGGCGTGTCAGAGCCATCCTTGAAGTTCAAAAGAGGAATAAACTTAAGGTAATTAACATATCAAAGATTTGATCATATTTTACATTTACCTTCTTAAAGATTTTATTTTATATATGTGTGTGTATATAAATATTTGAGATTTGTTAATTTTCTAAATTTTGTTGTAGAAACTTACCAAGCAAGCTGGTGAAGCAGTTGCCAAAGCAACGGCACCATACACAGCAATTATCAATAATTTTGGATACAATTAACATACGTGTTACAAAAACAAAAAATAAAGTCTCTTAAATATCTTAATCCAGAATATCCTATCACCCGCAAACTTGACATAAAATATTGATATATATATGTATAGAAGTAGGGCTCGGTACGCGATACAACTTTCGACCGATTCGAAAAGGCCTCTCTGGTATAAAAAGAATTGTGAGGAAAACTATTTTATTGATCAAAAATATATAAATTATATAATATTCTTAGAATTAATCTTTCATGCATATTTACAAAATTTAATAGTCTGTTAGCTTTCTTCTAATTTACGGTAAATAAAACTGTGCCACTTCTTTATCTTCTGTTCAATATCTTCTTCATCATGCACTTCATGTTCTTCTTCTTCATCAGAAGACGAAGAAAGTAAACCGTTCGTATATTGTGTACGGTAATTGCCTACATTTTGCGGTGTAGGACTAATACTATGTCCTAGTTTACTAGTCAGGCGTTCCACTGCATGTTTCGCTTGAATTTCCTATAAAGTATTAAGATATTTGAAATCAAAACAATATTTTTAGTTTTACAAAAAATGCTTTCCCTGAAAAGAATAAAAAGATAGAAAATAAAAAATATCAAATACCTGCAATTTTTCAGTTTGTTCCTTCTGTAATTTTAAAGTTTCTTTCAAACTCAGAACCTTAACTGCTCCGTGAACTATAAGAGGTGGTGTAGCTGCTGTGACCTCCCAATTTTTATGCAATTTTCTTTGTTTTTCCCTCATTGGATCATGAACGTTGCTCTTTGTTGTTTTATACGGTTTAAATGACTCCTTTTTCTTTACTTCCTGTATCTTCTCTACTTTATCAACGATATACTTGACATGCTCTATGTCTAAAGGATCTGTTTTAAAAGTTTCAATTTCTGCTATGTCTTTAGGTTTGACGAGGCTTTCTTCAGGTACTACATGTATAATTTTCTTTTTGTGAACACCAGATCCTGTAGGCTGTTAAAAAATACGTACATCAATATAATAAAGCATATATAGATTATATCTTATATTAACTGACAAAGATTATTATCAATATTTTAAGCAAGAGCTGTTAACCTGAGCTAGTATTTTTAATGGATCCTGCTCATCATCACTATCTAAGTCAATGATTTTGGTTGTATTTTCATCATCCTTGTCATTGTATTTTCCTGTCCATTCCAATTTGTTCATTGCCACTTTGCCTTCGGATGCTATGTTAAGCCGCGACAGCACATTAGCCGCTTCTTCCACTTCATTTCTATGTTCAAGTTCCTTCAGTATCTTGTTGTAGAGGCCGATAATTTTCTCTCCTTTGTCGGGAAGCTTTGAGATAAATTTTCTAAAAAAACAATATGATTCAAGATTGTTCAAAACGTTGAGATACAATAGTTTACACCTTACCTACATGTTAGCAAGCATTCTTTTCTGCCTTTCTAAAAGCTCTTCTAATTCAAATCTCTGTTTCTTTTTTAAATCATCGATATAACCTTGGCTGTCTTTCCTCGAAGGGATCACATCGCCAGGTATTTTTAAATTTTTCGGTAACATACTTTTATAAATCTGTTAACAATCGTATATGTACGTCCAAAATTTTATATAAAGTTAAGGAGAAATTGGAGAAAAAATGAAAAGAATTGAAGAAATTGAAATTCAAACAAATTCGCAGCGCAAAGAATCGATGGAATCGATGAATGCTGTAAAATATCTCATAATTAAACGTAAAGACATCATGAGAACGAGAATGTATCAAACTTTCATGCTTAATTTAAACAGCATGGCAATGTCATCGTGAAGATTCACAATTCTCGGAACGATCATTGAAAAGCACTTCAAACGGAATTGAACGGAATATGATCGAGAATACTACATCTCCTTTCAATTAAATGAAACGAAGTAAACGAACGAGCAAGATTGTCACTGCGTCCATGACATAAAATCATGATGCGTCAAGCGCCAGTGCACTTTCTGCACCTAAAATGGATGGATACATAAATTTAGCGTTGAAGAGAAAAGGAAAGATAAACAGTGTAGGTGTAGAGAATATAAATGAATAACAAAAGTCGTATTTTTTATTTTTCGTAGACGCACAGCCAATCGGAAGCGTAGAAAAGCGACGAATATCGCGATGACTGGCGATGACACGATATATCGAGAGCCCCGCTTTCCCACGAATCGATATAAAACGACACATCGCAATTACACTTTGCGCATTCCTCGTTCTTCGTTTTTCTCACTTTGACGCACAATTCAGCGCAATCGTGCAATACTCTCTCGCGTTTTAAGAGTGGAAAGTGTAAGTCAGCGCGGCATAAGGAACAGATGTCTAGAGAATCCCAACCTCAATGGAGAGTGCGAGGTGAACGATGCTTGTGGACGTTCGGCTCGTCTCTTTATTGCCTCTGAGTCCGCGCTAGTTAAGAGTCAGCCGTCCACGTTCGCGGCGGATTCGGCGAAACCCGGATCGCCGAGCGACTTGGCAGAGGGTTCCTATATGCGCGCCGGCGAGAGAGGGACGAGGAGTTATGACCGTGGACCCGATCGGGAGCAGCGAGTTCGCGAGGCGCACCGCCAGTCCTCAGAAACGATGAACTGCAATGGGGGATCGTCCGTGGCTGGCGAGGCATGCAATGCGGGCGCTTCCGTGGACTGCAGACCGATCGTCACCTGTGAGTTCCGTGATCGTCTCCCTCCGTTTCGCCCCTGTTGTCGCGCTGATAACGCGACATTCAGGCACCTTTCTTGACGCCCCCCCATCTGTCCATCTGTCAATTTTCGTGACAGTGTTTTCCGTTTTTTTTTTTTTTTTTTTTTAATCCAACCGAGATGATCGATGTCCGGACAAAATTTGTAGCAGCAATAATGCGTGCCTCTCTTGATTTTTCTTTTTTTAAGGAACATATGTCAACTTCATGTTTTTGTCAGGAAAATACGTTATGTGATTATATTTTATTATTATTATACTATTATTATACTGTTTTAGATAAGTATCCTGAGAAACTTAATTTAGCATTTTGCCGAATTTCCTTAATTCTTGTTCTCAGAGTGTCACATATAACTTTAATTTAAGGCCTGTTCTTTTCACTATACATTCTTGTACGGTTCATCTCTTCTTTTTCTCTTTATATTGAAGAAAAAAGAAAAGATGCAAAAAAAGTTCAAACTGGACTTTGCAACAGTTTCTTATAATACAAATGAGTAATCTAATGCATGTAGAGAGGATGTTATTTTGACCTATGCAAATGTGTGCTGCTTTACTTTTGAAGCAGCTGATATACAATTGGAATATAATAATTTTTTTGTGTGATGATACAGGTGCTGGGGATGAGAATTTGTTTTCTTCATTAAAGAAAAATTTACTTGAATCAATACCTACGGATACTGTGGAATGGCGTAGGTCATTCCACAGACCAGTAAAGCAAGTTAAACTCGGGGCTACTTTTGTTTCATTTTGTAGAGATATTTTGCCTACTGACAAAGATTGGCATCTGATAAAGCAACCAATCTTCCATATTTATTGGACAGAATGTCCTGTAAGTCCATTTGAATTAATTTCTCATTACATATAACATATAGAATGATATTTCTTTCATTTTTTTAAAATTATATTAAAAATATATTAAAAACTGTATTTTAGATTTATTAAAATATATAATATTAAATTATATAAACAAAATGTTATTATTATTGTCATACCAGAAGTATCTGTATATTACAATATTTAATATTCATGCTCCTGATAATTTAACAAATAAATCTCATATTACATATTTTTATAGGATGTTGATACTTATAAGACTAGTGTCAGAGATGATATTGATGCCTGGTTAAAAATATTGAATTTATATCATATTCAAGATTGGATGATTGTATTGGTAGAAACATATGATGTAAAGAAGGCCAATAAATTATTGCCTAGGACTACTGTCTTAGATAAAATACGAAGTGACTTTGCTGCCAAAAATGGCGACAGGTAATACAATATGATTTTTTATATTTAATCTTGTAATTAATATAGAAATGTACTTATATCTATAATTTGTTTGACAGATGCTTTGCTGTAATTAATCCAATTAAATCTGAATCTCGTTCTGCTGAATCGTGGAGAGGCTTGATAACTCGCATTCGTCATTTGATGTTGACTGCGTATGACAGAACCCTGTCACGTTTTGAAGATATTATACGTGAGCAGAGAGAAAGGCGGAACAATCCTAGTTGGAATTTTTGCCATTATTTTCTTTTACAGGTAATATAACACTTGCTACAAATTCTCTACTGAATTATTTCATAAAGTTAAATGATAAATGAAATATGGACTCTCAAAATGGATTATTATAATGAATGAATCTAATAATCTAATGTTTTTTTAATTTATAATATTTTGTAATACATTTTCAGTTTTCCAATCTCTTATAAAAGAGAATATATTTGATTAGTAACTCATATATTTGAGATAAGATTTGAGATTAAACTCAAGACTGATTGACGAGTTGACTGCTCTCATGGAGCGACGCGTTATTTTTCGAATTTTTTAATATTAATTAAAAAGAATTTATCTTTCTTATTATCCAAATAAATTGGCATTTTAGGAAGAATTGGCATTTGCATTGCAAATGCTGGGTTTGTACGATGAGGCATTGGTGCAGTATGATGAACTAGACGCTCTCTTTACACAGTTTGTGCTCAATTCTAATGTAGGAGGTATTGTGATTTTTTTTTAATATTTAGTTTGTATTAAAGATGTACATTATGAAATAAGAACAGATATTGAGATGCAAAGTGAAAACCTGAATGTAGATAAACTGTTTATAGATACTCCAGGATGGTTAGGTTTGTTTCAAACACCTTTGAACAACTGGGAAGGTGTTAATTTAAATAACGGTACAAACCATCGTCTGAGGTTTCTTTTAGCTGAATGTAGGGCATCTTTATTAGATCTTAGGAGTTATTTGTTTAGTAGACAATGTGCCATGCTACTCTTGCTTAATAAACCTTGGGAGGTTTGTATAAATTCAACAATTATTTATTATTGATGGCTTTATATAATTACCATATTTTAAAATTGATACTGAATATTCTTGACAGGTTGCACAAAGATGCTTATCGTTTGTTCATAATACATTAAGCGAACTAAGAATCTTAGAAGTACAGAAACCTGAGGGCTCTACAGAATGTTGGTCATTCCTCTGTGCGTTAGAGGTCTTACAAGCATGTCAATTGTCCACCAACAATATCGATAACAATCAACAATTGGACTTGTGTTCTTTACATACAGCTAGCTTGTGGGCACTTGCAAGAGACAAGGTAAATAATTTGATATATTAAATTTGATATTATTTTATTTCTTTTTTATTTACTAATAATTAAATGACATAATCCTTCCCTTGGATTATTTCCGTTACATGTTTTTTATATGTTGCATTATATGTATTTTTTTTAGTTAGGAAGCTTAGGAAAATTGTGCGGCCTAATGCCAGGAAATGAACCAACTAGTGAACAGTTGCATACAGTTGTGTATCTTATAGCAGGTATAGGAGATTCCGAGCCACAGGTAGAAAGAAAGTTAACTCCTACAGACAAATTAAAAGAGGCACTTTCATCCAAAGAAGCATTCAAGAAACAGTATTTGGAGCATGCAGAATTAGCCATGGGTACATACAAACATGTCGGTCGTATTCGATCAGCCAGATTAATTGGTAAAGAATTGGCACGATTCTATAGCGAGCTGGGAGAAAATCAGAAAGCAGTCGCATTTTTATCTGATGCTTTGAAAACTTATATGGACGAAGGGTGGCATCACTTGGCAGTGCAAACACAGTTAGAGCTAGCCGAATGTTACAAACGGATGGACGACGTCGAGAAATATACTAAAGTGTGTGCAGCAGTAGCTAGCGCAAGCCTTTTGCATATAACTGTACGCAACACATATTTGGAAGAAATGTTAGGATATATGAAAATGATCTCTTCACCTCAACCGTTACTCGCGGAACTCGGATGTGCTTTTACAATACTCAGTATGGAAGCTAAAGTAATGGATAAGATAGTTCAAGACTGTGTAGTTAACGTTGAAATCAGTGTACAGAGTTTGTTTCCTCGGGAAGTAAGATGCACTAGCGCTGCTATTTCTGTAGAGGAAATACAAAAGCCATCTATACTTAATAAGAAAAAAGGATTAAAATCATCTATTGATCCTCCAATTCAATTGTAAGTATTAATGGATAAAATTATAAATATTTTTAGTTACTTATTAATATATAGTATAGAGAAAGAAATTCTTAAAAACTGTAAAGAATAATATATTTACAGTAGTGCTTATTTCATTTTTTTATATTTCCTATTTTTTATAAGTTAAATTTTTGTTCTACTTTGTTTTATTGCAGGTTATCAAAGTGCACATTAGAAGATATGAAACTACTTGATCTCAGTTTATTACGTTTGCAAGTATATTCGTATTTGGATTGGAAAGAAGATAGAACTCTTGGTTCTGCTAGTGTTATAAGTAAAAATATGAAGCCGCTCGTGAGACGTTCAGATAGCGCAAAACATAGAAAACCTTCAATTAATATAAAGGGTGATTTTAGCAAAGCACTTTCCTGTGATGAATTCGTTATGAAACCTGGTGTAAATACATTTGTTTTAACAAGACGAGTGAATCAACCGGGTTTATACAAAGTTAGCCAGTTATCATTGGTAATAGAAGAAAAATTAGAATTTTTATCATCTCTACTAAATCCACGATTATGCTACGAAGTAGCAAAGACGCAGCCAATGATATCCGTAAATTGTGGTAGAGATTTATTGGCGGGTCTTACTCAAGATATTGAATTGGTTATATCGAGCGGAAGTACAAAAATAACCGAAGAAATGAAATTAAAATTACGCACATCACGAGGATTGACAGTACAGTCACAAAGTGTTGAGAAAGTTATGGTAAAGGAGTTAGAGATACCACTGCCAACATGCGAACCATTTCAAACCATAAAAATACAGTTACAGATTTTAGCTGAACTACCACCAAAGAAGGATGCTTCATCTATGGAACATAAAGTACAATAATTAAAATATGTAATTTATATTATTTTCTTTTATGCAATAAATATTATAACTTAACATTTTTTCCAGTTGAATATACAATGTCCATGGGGTTTGGAAGAAAGTATACCTTTGCATTTTGGTCCACCATTGATGTCAAGTATGAAACTTCATACAGCAAAACAAAGAAAATTCATTCAAATAATCGTAACTGGCTTGACAAGTCAACTGCTACAATTAACTGAGCCTGAATTAATGACAATTTCGTCAATAGACGTTAACTTTAAAACTTTAAATCCTGTCGCGGGTCAGAAATTAGTTATAGGTAATGGAATGAACGTTTCCTTTATGTGGGAACTTGAAATTGGGAAAGATGAGAAATCCACGATACCAATAAAGACTGACTTTCGTGTAAAATATATATCAGTTAATGATACTGAAGAATTAAATGATACGCATGTTGATGATGATCCACTACATATACATAATCTAGAAAGAATTGAGAAAGCATGTAGTGTTTACAGATGCAACTTTGATATTACAGATTATGTGGTAAGAAAAACTATTTATAGTTAATTGATATGTTAAATATATACAATTATATACCTTCTTCAAAATATTTTATTTATCTTAAATAAGAAGTCATGGATTAATGGTAATCTGTAATAATGTGGTATCTATTACTTGTACAAACTTAACGCTGTGCGTTCTTATTATATATTAGGAATATGTAATTTATTTTTGTACCGATACTTTCCAGACTTTATTCACAGTATCCTCGAAAGTCGAAACAAGTGGTGGAGAGTTTTGTCGTGCAGGTAGTATGTGCCACTTGTGTCTTACGGTGATACGCATGCCTAGTCTTAGTTCAAATCCTCCACCACAGTTAATGTACGAGGTTTTGGCGGACCAAACTATGTGGGCGGTATGTGGTCGAACAGCAGGCATTGTATCATTAGAAATAGTAGAGAAACAAAGTGTTACATTAGATGTAATGCCTCTGACAAGTGGTTATTTGCCTCTCCCTGTTGTTAGATTATCTCGGTATATACCTGCAACAGAATCGAAAAATGGTAAGTTTAAATATTTTGCATAATATATGCCTAAATATCACTTACATTATTTAATTTTAATAAATTTATCTAATTTTTATCGAAAATTATTATTATAATTTTAAAGAAAAAGATATTACGTTTACCTCTAAGTTGTATGAATTTCTGTAATTGTTTTATTTGTTTCCATTTTAAGATATCGTCCGTAATAAAAATGATTTAGGATCTGGCCCTCGATTAGAACCATTTAGTCCGGGACAAGTATATAATGCCAGTAAAGCACAACAGGTGCATGTTCTGCCAGCAGCTCCATCAGAATCGAATTAAAGATGTATAAATTGTTGTTAAAGATGTACATGTTCTTTGATTTTGTGTGTAATGAGTCATCTTTATTTAAGAAGAGTTTTAGAAGTAACTGCAAGTTGTTTTTTGTATCAAAGTGAATATATGGTATAATTATGTAAATACCTCATTTTAAATTCATATAGTAAATAAGACTCTTATCATATAAATTAATATTTTTAAATAACCAATTCGGCGCGTTAAATACAATAGTTTAATATTTATTTATTTCTATAAAATTTACAGTTCAATTCTCTATTACCAAAGCCACTCATCTTTAAAAAAAATGTGAACTTTTTGTTTAATAATTATGACAATGTCATAAAATGCCATAAAATGTCCTTATTTAAACATTATGAAGATTCTAAAACTTCTAGCTAAGTATACGAGTATACTCGAATTTTGTATCAAAACATTGTATTTAATATATATAATTATTACATTTTATAATTAAATTACACTTTATCAGAAAATAATTATATAATTGCAATAATATGAGGTATCTAGGATATATTAAAACAAAAATATAGAAAAAATTCTTGACAATTCTCAGTGATTCAGTTATAGTATTGAGAAAGCTTGCTATCTACGTTCTAAATTATGTATATTTTTGTCATTTTACATTATGCATACAATTTTCTTTTATTTTCTATTTTTTTCTTTATTCCACATTTATTTACAATTTATAAATCTTGTTTGCTCTGCTATTATTTTTTGTTTAAATATTTTAGTACCATCTTAATATCTTAAGAAAGATGGTAATATAAGAATTTTTCTTATATAAAATTCATGTAAAATTTGTACAAATACTTGTTAGCAATATACTCATAAGCTTGTGAATAAATGTTACATATTTTTACTATGTTAAACTGTAACATATAGTAAATGCTTATGGACATAAATTTGATACGTAAACTAGGAGTTTATTTAATGCTATGTAAAAATATATTGTGTTCGTTTAATAATACTTACAGTTTAATTAAAAAATATATCTATGGAGAAAAATAATTTACATCACATTTGCTAGTGTTTGTTCAGCAAAATTGGATATTGCTAGATACATTTTTCTTGTATTGCCATGTTCTCTAGAATATTATTGATTTTCTATTTATAATTTTTTAATTTTATAAACGTAAGATATGTATATATATATAATCACAAAATACTCTTGATTATAATCATTAAGTTGCAGATATTTTAAAATTTATACAAAATTATGTTTATTTATCAATTTTTGTGAAAAGTATTTCTATTAATTAACGTAATACATTTATACTGTCTATAATATTTATTATACGTTTAGCAAAAATATCTATTTTTATTATATTTGTTGATACTATAAAATATGTATAGTCAAATCGGTTTTTAATATAATATGATAATATAATTTTGGTGGTAATATGTTGTACCAAATATTTATATTATACAGAAAAGTCGGGGATGCATAGTTAATAAAATATACTCTTTAATAAAATATTTTATATTGTATTATATTATTTATAACGTTATTATTATTTGAATAAAGCTACTTTTGTTTTTAAAATATTACAAAAAAATCACGTATAAGTTTAAATTAGCAAAAATATAAATATTTAATTTTATATTTTTCTAATATTTGTTAAAAAATTCAGTTTAATCAATTTAATATTCCTAGAATTATAATTTAAACTTATACATTGTTTCTTATGCAAAAAAGGACTTCATTTATAATATTTAAACAATAAATTTTAACAATATCTCCTAACTCTAAATTGTGTGTGTGTGTGTGTGTGCTGTAGTATATATTTCAAAAAACAAAGAATCAAATATTACATCTGTTTAAAAACAAATATATGTTATATCTTATTATTAGTTTCTCATTAGTAAGTTTTATCGATTGTACAAGTTATGTAGCATGTACTTGCATTAATTTTGTATGAATATGGACACCATTTAGCATTTCAATCAAACACATATAAACAAATTGTGATATATGTGTAATCTTCAAAATTCATAAAATTGGAAAAAATCAATTTGCATAAATTTTATTCTTATGCAGGATATAATCATGTTTATTTTTTGTGTCAGATATATATAGATTATATTAACTATGCATATCCATTTTAAAAGTTACGTAATTATGTGTTATTCTAAATAACATTGATAATTAAATGCTTTGACGTATAATTGTGATAAAAGATATTACCATAGACATATCTATGCATATTACATATAGATTTTGTTATATTTTTTAATATTAATAAATGAAGTAAGATCATATACATCAATATGTTAATAATTAAGAATTGTAAAATAGTTGTCCAATGAAAATTAATATCTGCTTTATATTTAAAATTTATGTTATCATTATATACGTTTAGTATGTTATTAATTTAGTAAGCTTTAGCAAGTATGTTATTCATTTTAAGCTAATAAGATTGCAAATAAGCGATCTATTACCATTTTTTTAATAAAATTATATTTTGCAAGTCAGCAAAAGTACTGTATATACAAGTTTTTATTTTTTATATAATGTGCAAAGATAATAAACTGTAAATGAAATTTGTACAGTAAATATGTGTATCAACAATGAACATTAATACATATGATTTATTTTCTATCAATGGAACAAAGCAATATACAAAATAATTGACATCCAAGTTACTACAATAAAAAATTTTCAGTGGAAATATAACTTTTTGTTGTGAAGTTGTAACAATGGTACTGGATGCAATTTCATGATGTAGAATAATCTTGTGTGTATGAGTAGAGATTTTTCCTCATTATCATTAAAGGAAGTAGTGGGTGTAAAAGTTGAATAATCTCTTTGCTGAAATATAGATTATCATCCTTGGTTGTATCAGGCCACATCATAATATTTTCTTTCATTTGTATTTTATATTTCCTAATAAAATTAATTTTACACGGTTAATATTAGTAATTAGAAAATAAACTCGGAAAGAAAAGGAGTTTTATTATATGAATTAGTAATTAGGTTGTGGTTGCTGGGTCAACAGTAGGCCAAATCTTCTTTTCATTGTAATCCTTTCTCTTGAATATTTGTCCTCTACAGAAAATCGAGCTGCAAAAACATTTAATATCAAGCAGTTTTTTAATTCTATATAATGCATCTGTGCAATAAAAATATATTAATAATTTACCTGGATGTGCAGACATTGTAGGATTTCCATTATGGTCTACTTTCTGTAAAAATTTAATCTCATTAGCCCGTTTTTATTTGTAATTTGACATTCTCGAGAGTTCTATTTTTATATTAATTTATTAAAAAACTTAATAATTAAAAAAAAAGAGAAAGAAAAATATAAAATTAGCTAAAAAGATTTTGTTACAAAAGAAAAAAAATTGGCAAGAAGTAACGATAATATTTAAAATCAATATTGAAAGATATAAAGGCATATGTAGTAACACATATTTAATTTTATTGTAAATATATTTAATATCTATTTGTACAATATATCCTACTATATTATAGATGTGTTTGAGAAGATAGTACAGTTATGTTATTTTATATTCATTTTATTCTTTGTTTTAATGCTTCATGAATGACACAAAGAACGCTAATAGCATTTTTTCGAAGGCATTCTATATTGCCATAGAAAGTGATATATTGGATTGTAACAAAGAAAGTAATGCGTTATAACACCATTATTATTACTATCTATTAAATAAGAAATTAGTAACATTATGTTTTTATTTTACTAATAATATAATGGTAAAACAGTTACATTTTAGGTACATACAATCACATGTTTTTTACGTTACTTTATACATAGCAATAGGTACATACGTATGAGATGTGTATAAATGAGTTTTAAAAGAAAAAGGAGGTATTATGTTTAATTATATTATCATTAAACTCAACGAGTTACTTTTTACAATGAGCAAATTTTTAACTCTCCTAACCTTGTATATAAATAATATAAGTATATATATATATATATACTGCGATTGTCATATCACAAAAAATTACCTGTAAAGTGTACACTCTGTTTCCTTTATCGTCCAAATAATACATTAGATACATTTTCGGATATTCAATCAATCAATCTTGGTAAAATGGTCCCGTCTACAAATTCCTGACTAGGACGATATGTATATGACCAGCATCAAAAAACTACCGCCACAGGCGGCGAGTATCGAAAGTAAGATTATAGTCGGCTTGGAGAGCCGACGAGTACTCCAAATTCCCCAGAAGTCACGTGGGAGCGATTTTCGGATATTGTTTCGATACGATTTCTTTCGATAAGTTCCTGCCGTTGGATTGTATCTTTTGTGGCGCCACCAGGCTACGGCGTGTTCAGATTCCCACCCGAGTGCTCCCTGGGTGTCATGTCATCCTTGTTTAACATTTGGCAAATAATAAGGATAGAAGGATACCTGAGGTGGCACTCGGGTGGGAATCTGAACATAGCCCTAGATGGTTGCTTGCTAAATATTCGATTCGAACAAATCGAACATTTGAAGCCTTGCTGTCGCTGCCTCGGTTTGCTGCGTCACTGGCGCCACTTCTTGCCACGTGGTCGCAAGTTGTAGTTTCCTGTATAAACGACCATTAGCGCGGTATAAAGTCAGTCTAGACTCTAAAGTCTAAAGTTTTTGTCGAACGTTCTTTTCTTGTTATATTATACTCGCACGACAATCAGCATGTTAGATACGCTTACTGACAAAATATTTCGAGTATGCTACGAAAAACAATTATAAGAAAACCTATTTACAATTAGAATATCATCAGGTCTATTCTTTCCAGCTAAACTTCTTATACTGGTCATCTTTTACCATCTTTTCTCTCGAATGTGGAAAGAAATAAAGAAGAAACATGAATAATGTAAGAACTTCAACTGAGATAAACAAATCAAATGTGTCTCGAAGTTTATTCAGTTGGATTTATGAGTGAAGTATAGATTGGAGAAAAATCGATTAATCACAGATGAAAAATAATTAAGTATGTCATGTTCCGTAATTATTATATACATAATTGATTTCTTTGTAGGTCATGACTAGAAGGAAATTGTACATACGTAGTTTCAGATATGCTTTTTCTGGTTCAACGTAATTAAACACGTTTCAACAAAAAGACGGTTGGCAAAACATAATTTATATTTGTATTTTCTACAGTATCAGCGAATTTTTTTTTACGGACAAGCCAAAATTTTAATTTTAATTTTTTGCCCTTAATTCACATTTTTTATTCTTAATTTTATTTCTACTTGTATCTTATTACTCACAGAATAATTATTATTATAATTCCTTAATGTATCCTTAAAATTCAAAAAATGGAAATGTAGATTTTTGTAAAAATTATAATAGATTCATGTTCGTGTTTATGGGTTAATAACATAAAGTGAAAATGGACCGAGAAATTATTTAGTGCTTTAAACACGCTTATTAGCATCAATAACATTAAATTGCTTGTCAATTTAATTTGTGACGTCGTGCTCCAGTCTAAGCACTGCATGTATTTCAAGACCAACAAAGATAATCAGGGTGCAGTTTGTTTTGAACTAGACATTGTAAAAATTCACACAACATGTTATTAGACAAGACTCGTCTTTACCAAATATGGCCCTTTTCATTCATTTTTAAGTTAAATTACACGTAATCACAACTTGGAGATACGAAGCACGGAATATCTCTCGTGATCCCTCCGTTCATCTCTCTTGTAATTACAAACTATCTCAATTCCTTATAATTTACAAATAACCGATCCGATGACGTTTTCACCCAGAAGTAAAGACCGTTTCCGGATTGCTTCAAGAAATCTCAAAGGGAAGCAAATAAAAAGACGCTCAAGAGATTGCATGCAGAAGAGCCGAGCCTGTATACTTATTATCATGTTTATTATCAGGTCTTATGCCGCGTGACAGGTTACCGGCCGCAGACGTAGGCGTGATGACGTTCGCCGGTGATTAGCCGAGAGGCACCCACGGTGAAGTTGCACCGGCGGCAGCTGCGGCGAGTACTGAGCGTGTGTGTGCGCGCTGATTGACAATTCCTCCTCGTGGCTAGAAGTTGACGTATAGTGGACACGCGTGCCCGCTCTCGGACGCGACGGGTGCCGTCCGGATAGTCAGTGTCACTTCCGCTGACCAAATCGCTGTCAGTGTGTGTACGTCCGCCGCACTTATCGTCCACGGCACTTGGCGTATAACGAACGTTCGCCGAACGAGAAACGAAAGAACGCATTCCTCTCCGATGTTCTTCTCCAACGCGCAGCTGTCTTCAAGGTGAACGATTGTTATCCTACAGGAACTTGTTGATTAGGCGCGAAATGACGGCGTTCCCTGCGCCGCGAGTGCGACTTCGCGGTCACAAGAGTGAAATCGCGCGGTGACGAGAGATGTGAATTACTGGGATGCTGGGATTACCGATGCATGGAAAACAGCAACACTCCATGCTGTCATTCGCTGCGCGATCATGGTCTGGCTTTTGTTTCCGTTAATGATTATACAATAGGAAGCGGTTAATCGTCCGCAATTTGTGCGAGTGTGTACATATACAGGTGGAGGTCACCTATAGATGTAACACTCGCGTAACAAATCGCAATCACACAAGGCTAGCACGCTCATTGTTTTGACCTCGGTCAATGGATTGCTAACGTAATTATTAGGAGAAATATTTCTTTGATTAATTACAGAAAGTATTTCTCTTATTGTATATAAGTTATCTCGAATTATAAATATTCTTACTACAGACAGTGCAGCTATAAATATATATATCAGATAAAAAGAACTCCACGCACTAAAGAAATTTTTATAGGAAATAACACAGTTAATGATTTTTAAAGTTTTATATCAATACTTTGCAATTTAAACCTTGTAATGCAAAAATTTTTGTGAGTTTAAAGTAATTATGCAAATTACTGTTTCGGTCACAAAAAATAATGTTAATATAAATTATTTTTCGTTATTTATATAATCAAAATTTAGTTTTTATTTCAAATACTTTTCAGGATGAAAATCCGAGAAAGTTGAATTATAGTTTTTGGATTAAGATAACGATAACGATTGTGGATTGCGATTTACAAGATTTCAGACAACTCGAATCGTAAATATTTTCGTAGTAACTTAAAGGTTTATTGTGTATTGTTGTACTACCAGTGGAAGTAGTGCTTCATTCGTTCGTATTATCGGCAAACCTTCGTTTGTAAAAAATAATCGCGCCGATACCGTCTGCGTCGCGGTGGCTTTAAATCAGCCTTACGCTACTAATCTCATTCAGTCTAGCGGCTAGAATCGCAAATCACGCGACACTTTGCGATTATTCTTAAATATTGTTGAATTTTCAACTACTGCGCGGTCGATCGTTTCAGATGCAGCGGAGGAAAATTCGCTGGATTATTCAAATACCGGAAGAACCGCAGTGTGTCGAGACCGTCGAGCAACAAATCTTAAGTACGAAAGGTAAGAAAATTTGAATATAACATAAAAATTCAACAACTACATGTAAAAATTTAATAACTATTTACATGTAGAAGGGAATTAATCTTTTAACGAAATCTTTTATCTTTTGAAGATAATTCTAATCTTTCAAAAGTTATGAATACAAGTCATTCTAACAAGTTTATATTATTTAGTTACGAGTCTAATAGAAATCGTGCAAGTTAATTTGTTCAATATAAATGTAAAATTCACATTTTCATTTAACTTGATTTAGATGTCATCTAACACATGGAATAAAATTTTTCGAATGTAATAAATGTATACTCTACGCGGAATCGGAAATCATGTTTGGATGTGTGCCTTTGATTTGCGCGTTGTGTAACAACGTTTAATCGGATTTTCTAGTTATAAATTTAGCAATGTTTTCGTCGAAAACGTTTATTTGCAATAAACGGCGTATAAAACCGAAGACAAGATCTTCTACAAATGATTGATATAAACTTACATAATTTATTACGTATGTAAATAAACATTCTACGTTGCCGAACACATTTCCTTCATGAAAACTGTTGAGTAGATATCTTAAATTTTAGGCTGATAAGAAAAGGTCGTGACATGAAAACATAGTATAGGCATATTAGGCATAGAAAAACTGATTTTCTATTTGTGGATCTTTATCTTTTATTAAATTATCGTAATTGGAAATTTTTTTGTTAATAAATAAAAGGTTGAAAAATTTACAATTAGTTTATTGGAGACGAATTTGATTTTGTAACTGTTTATCACTATAAAACAAATGTATTTTATATAATCAACATAATATGTTCTGTAATTTCTAATATACTTTTATGAATTATTATAGAATATAATTCTATAATAATATCAAATTATTTAGTTACACAATTTGTCGAAATGATGTGTTACATGAGATGACATTATTATAGAATGTGTATACTTTTATATAATAATGTCAAATTATGTAACATGTTATTTCGGTAAACTGGATCATTTATATGGAAAACATATTCTGACAAACTGTATCTTATGGGATATTTAATATGTTTGTTTACTTTAACTTGTTTTTTTATGTCTATATTGCATATTGTATATATATATATACATATGCATATTGTAATATGATAACTCGATTTTGGATTTTGTGTTTTTCAATTAGATCATAAACAAATACAAATAATAAACTGTTCAAGAAGAAATTAAAACACAATTTAAAAAGGGCATGTTATCATTTTATATAAATATAATTTTTACGGAGATTTATATAAACTCAATCACTTTTATTAAAATACATCTATTTAAACGATTGTGATTACAATTTTATTTAAATTATTTAAATAAAATTATATATTTGGAAAATTTATCTCTTTATTTTGAGGTCTACAATTTTATGGAACTTAAACTTGCAAATAAGAATAAAGAAACTATAGAGAATTTACTACTAATCTAGGATACATGTTACGTCTAGACGTAGCTGTAGTAGTATTTTATTCTATTCATTATGCAAATAAGTCGTGACACCGCGCGCATGTCGTTTATGTGATTATAAATAGAGATGATTGGCACGATCACGTTTAGCATCGGGTTTTACTCCGTTTTCTCCTTTCAGCGTAACATCTTTTTATAAATAATCACTATTGTCTGTTACCGTAGTTCGTTGATGGATTACATTGCCCGCGCTCCTATTCGCTCGTCTTATTAAATTTACTTCGGAACGTGTAAATATAACAAA